GCCGCCGAGTGCATGACTCAGTGCTTTTTGGAGCAGGCCCTGCCGGGCTTCCCGGAGCGCGGCCTGCCCTGCGCTGCGAGGGGGATGGGGGCCTCTGGGCACCGAACTCGGTCGAAATCGCTGGGACCCGGCCCCACGGCTGTCTCCCCGGAAGGTGTTTTCCTTTTCCAATTGTGGTTAAGCTGCTCCCTCCAGAGCCCCTTCATGGAGGCAAATCGAGCGCCTCTCCCTTTGTCTACACGCACATTAACATTTTGCTCCTTTTCCGTGCACTCCGTGGAGCTCTATTTTGGGGAAGGTGTTAGAAGTTAAATGTCCATTGGAGCTGCCTGAGAATACTACCCGGATATTTAGGAGAAAATAATATATAGGTCAGAGCATCGTTTCTCAGATTTGGCGTTCGGTAACTACAGGAAATAGGAAGGTTTTATCTTCCCATTTTGATGATTCCTTTAAAAGTGAGATCTCATAACCTTAATTGGTGAAAATATTTCATTTTTACCTTTCACGTTTGTTCTTAAAAGTGTCCAGCCCAAAATGAGGCATTTGTTTTAGTTGTACCTTTTTTTTTTCTTTTGTGCCTAGGACAGGTATTAAATCAGGAAAGGAGCTTCAAAAAAAAAAAATCTGTTTGGCTGAGGTAACCGGGACCTGGAGACTAAGGACTTGCCCAAGGTCAGGCTTATTGGCCCATTAGAACCTAGAATTCGGGTCTGCCCTCGAGGTTAGTGAGTGGTCTTGCCATTTTTAGGCATGTTCACCTTGAATAGGTAGCCCGTAGTTTAAAAGAAAAGCTCATTCATTTCAGTTTTTTAATTGGAAAATTGGTTAATCCTGTGAGGTTCGTTTTAATCGATGAGGTAAGAAATGCCGTGAACTTCAAAACAAAAAACAATTGCAGCTATGCCTGAAGGGCTTATGGAAGAATACTAAGTCTCTAACAACTTGTTTTTTGTTCCCAAAATAGAAGGGAAATACAGTATACAAATTAACAAACACACTATAGTTTTCATTAAGTGTATGGAGTATTTATGCTGCCATGCTTTCTCCACTGTGCCTGCTTACTCCCCTCCTACCCCTTTTCAATAAGCACATCTTACTTTGTTATTAATTCTACTTGGGTATTGTGGATTGAAGGTGAGGTTGTTCTTTGATCCTGCATTAAAAAACCTGGAGGCCCTAATTGCATTTTGTTTTGTTATGTGAGATATATGAATACTGCATCGTTAGTTCTTGGGGTTGTGTAGGAGTTGGCAGGCTCTGAGATATAAATAGAAGCTGATTTCAGAGGCCCCTGTTGACTAGGCTTTATGTGAGAGCCTCCATCCAGCTCAGCTTGTCACATTGCAGCCTTGTGACAGGCTGAAGCGCCCTCCCATGTGATCTAGGCTTCTGAGAAATATTAAAGCAAGCTGTGCACATGTGATGGCATTTAAAATCTGACTTACTAGGGGAGGGGGAGACTTATAGAAGACTGGTGTCTTTTTGGTTCTTGTTCTTTCTGTGTACTTAAGTTTAAGAATTTGAGTTGTGTTTTCTGAAGGTGGAATCCTTGTCTAAGTGGGTATCTTCTCATTCACAGAAGAAAAGTGCTTTCTGATTAAAAAACAGGGTTGATCTGATCAGTTGGTCTTAATTCCCTCAGTATACTTTTAAAGAATGCCAGGTGTCACTGGAAGTTATAGTAGTAACTTAGTTGTAGCATAGTTCTTAAGTGGGCTGAAAAAGGCCCAACTTTTTGCATAGGGTAAAGGTCAGCACACTGCATGAAGAAAATGAAGATACATAATTTATTATTTGAATCGTTTTTCTGTGCTTGTGTTACACTCAACATTTAAAAAAAGTCAACTAAAAGTGTTTATTAAACTGCATAAGTAATCTTGAAATATTTACGCTGCCTTGCTCTGAAATGAGTCAGCTAAATTCCTCTCACTGTTTAAAGAGGCAGTGTCAACTAAATTACTACTATTCTTCTGAACTATGGCTTTTAATCACAATATACAAGCTTGATTTGCTCAAAGTGATCTTGTGATAACAAGGAAAGATTGCTCTCATTTAACTGGTCAAGACTGGATACTCATGGTCAGGGTTTTGTCCTGATCAAATTGCTTATTCCCCTTTCTTCATTTTTGTAATTTTGGTAAAGAGTTAATAGGGTGTGTCTTACTGTGTAGTAGATGGGAAAAAAAGTGACCACATTTTCCTTAAAACCAAATGCTCTCAAATAATGCTTTTTACATAATTCTTTCAAAAGTAATTTTTCCTACTTATATTTTCTCTTACACAGTGGGAAGCTAAGTAAAGTTAGCCTATTTTATGCCAATTAAACTTTTGGAAATACTCAGGTATGCTTGCTATGTAAAGTTCTTTCTGGTAGCCTAACATTAAATATTAACTGTGATCAGAGTATGTTTTTATATTGCTTACATAATCAAGTTTGGATTTGGAAAGGTTTTGGTTTTTGACAGGAGAAAAATACTTGTTAAAGCTAAATAGAGACTGAAAAGTCTGTGGCTGGTAGTTTCTGCTTTACAGGTTTCTAGACACTGAGTGGAAGTATTACTGATAGGGCCCAAGTGTGTCTTTCAGACAGGTTCTGGGGGTGGTTTTAAGAAAGCTGAAGATGGTCTGTAGGGATGGCTCAGTCATTAAGAGTGCTTGATGCTCTTATAAGAGGACCTGGATTCAGTTCCCAGCACCCACATAGTGGTGGCTCACAGCTGTGTGTTAACTTCAGTTGCAGGGAGTTGAGTGTGTAGGCATCAGGGATATATGTGTACATGCATACAGGCAAACACGTATACACATCTTTATTTAAAAGCTTCAAGGCTAAATCCAGGATTCAGCCAACTTGATCTAACAAATATCAAGAGGTAGTGATTAGTTGGATTACTGTGGGGTGACTTTTTTTCTCCCTGTTTATGCATTTACCCTATTGAAGTAAACATCATTTGAAATGGCTGACTTGTAAAAGTGACAGTTTTCAAAATTGATTCAAACAACCCTGATAAATGGCAAGCTGCCATCTTCAGAAACTAAAATTCAATAGTAACAGATGAAATCATACACTTTATTATTTAATGGTGTAATTTCTTTTTGGTCCTTGAACAGTTCTTTCACAATCTGTTTTTTAAAGTCAGTAAGATGTACTCATTTCTGTTTAACACAATCTTGGTTTTTGTTAGTAACAGATTTGGTATTTAGAAATAACAGAGGTGTAGTGATGATTGTATTGTATACAATGTTTTTCTGACATGCTAATTTCTAAAATTCTGTTTTGTTTATAGCAGAGAAATATGGCTCAGGAAACTAACCAGACCCCAGGGCCCATGCTATGTAGTACAGGATGTGGCTTTTATGGGAATCCTAGGACAAATGGAATGTGTTCTGTTTGCTACAAAGAACATCTTCAGAGACAACAGAATAGTGGCAGAATGAGCCCAATGGGTAAGTTGTTTGGGGGGCAAGGGGGTGGGGAGAGGACAAAAAACCTTGAACCTGGTGGAGAGAAAACCTAAGAATCAAGAGACTATCGAAAACTCAAGGAGAGAATGCCTGACAAGAGCTTAACATTAAGACAACAGCCCAAGTGCTTGCCGAGACAACCTCAGGACTATTCTGCAAACGTCTTGTAATATTTTTAGTTTTCCTTTTTGAAGCTTTCATACATGTGTTCTTTGGGATATGACTTTTTTTTTTTTTTGTCTGAATGTCAAGTGTAGGATTGCAATGCAGTGAAGGTGCTTAGAACACTAAATTAAATGCAAGTATTGATACTTACTAAGTCTTTACTAAGTGGGTTTTTCTAGTGCTGATTGGTTTCTTACAAATCCCCCTTTTTTAAATAGGGACAGCTAGTGGTTCCAACAGTCCTACCTCAGATTCTGCATCTGTACAGAGAGCGGATGCTAGTTTAAACAACTGTGAAGGTGCTGCTGGCAGCACGTCTGAAAAATCAAGGTAAGAGTGAACATTTCAGAGTCTCTAATAGAAAGTCAAGATGTTTGTGCTATTCATATAATAATCAGTGTGGTTTTATCAGGTGGCCTTGGTTTTGCCTACATTGTAGACTAATAGATTCCATTAATATCTGGCTCTTGGATCAGTGAATAAAGTTGTCTATCACAACATACTCCATGAACCCCTCAAGGCCACTGTTAAAAATGTTGTGTTTTTATTTCTTTGTAATTGAGGATTAGGGATTGTAAAGAATAAGACTCTGTTGACTGTATTATAGTGCCTCACAAGGTGTTTCTACACAGCTGCTCCTTTGTCCTTAAATTATAGGCACAGTTAAAACACTTTCTAGAACTATAATGTGATGCTATATATAGAAATATGCAGCCATGAGTTGATGAGCCATTTATCAAATTACTTTCTTTTTACTAATTAATGTTGGGCATCCAATATCTTTTCCAAATTTTTAAATTAATCTGGTGCCATTTGATCATGTTGGAAATAACACATAATTTAAAGTTGAATTGACAACTTATCTCAAAAAAATAATACCCTTAACATCTTTAAAAATAATTGTTTGCTTGAACTCAAATAGAAATGTGCCTGTGGCTGCCTTGCCTGTAACTCAACAAATGACAGAAATGAGCATTTCAAGAGAGGACAAAATAACTACCCCGAAAACAGAGGTGTCAGAGCCAGGTATGCTTTTTAAGTTTAATACTAGTTCAGTTCTGAATTTCGAGGTATGAGAAAGAATTGAGTTGGTGATGGGATTCTCTCCTTTTGTTGAAGAATCAAAGAGAAGAGCTATAATTTACAGGCCAAGCAAATATGTAGTACCAAAAAATATAAATAGCTAGTATTTTTACCCTCTTCTACTCATCCCCTCATTACCCTCATTTCTAAAATCAATCAAGTAGTCTGGAAACTATATGGTAAGAACTCAATGACTTAAATTGTCATGGCCATGGGGAATTTAGTCCCAACTCTGTTGGTATTGTAGGAAACAGTAACACAAAAAGCACATACTGAGTACTGGGAGTTGTAAAAGTGGGATCCCTATTACTTGTGTTGTGAGTGAGACTTTTAGTATGGAAAGGTTTTTGTTTTCAATGGGTAATAGCTTTGGAGCTATTTTTGTAGCACAACCAGAAAATTCAATGTTATAAGAACACTAATTTGTGTTAGTATTTTCTGTGTGCATATGATTTACTCAGCTTGTTTTGGGTAAACAATGAAGTGTGAAATGATTGTGAGGGAAATGGCAGGGAATTGCAGTCTGTCTTGAAGACTTTTTCTAAGTCTTCTAAGAAAGTTTTGGTTTTTTTTGGGGGGGGGGTTCCCCCCTGTGCTGAATCAATTTCATGAAGTCATATTATTTGGTCCTGAAATGGCAGGCAAATCTGTATTTGAAATGAGTCCTACATTGAAAAAACTGACCAAATGCTGGTTTTACACACACACAAATTACATGGAAGTAGATCTGTAGCTAATAATCACATTTATTATTACTTGATAGAAATCTATGACTCATTGTTTTTTCTTTTCTATTCCCTTCCCTTGTATGTCTGGCGAGTTTATTAATGTTTTAGGTGTGGGCAAAGAAATGGCTTAACACTCCTATTTCCAACTACCTACTCCAATAGCATTAGGAAAATAATAAGGTTATCACGGTTGCTTAGGAAAAAGTATGTGGAGTATTTTCTGTTGTTCTGCTACTAGGCTGTTGATCCCAGTGTATGTGTTTGCTAATGTGGATTGAGAGATCAGTTTACATTAAAGCAATCTGCTTGTCCTAGAAACTTAGTCATACTAAGCATTGGAATTGGTATATTGTTTGGGCAGTGGTTTTAGCAGTGTATGAATTGATTTGCTATTCTTGTTTGGATTGCACTGTAAATCCTTTATAGTGTACAGTTAGGTTTAATATAAATATAAGCAATTAGGTTTATAAGCATATACAGTTAGGTTTAATATAAGTGTTAGCAAGTTTTTTTGGTAATATGAAAAACTAGGGATTGGGGCAATTTTTTATTTGTGACAAACCTTTATAGAAATTAACAAAAGGATTAATAGAGGGTAGGGCCTTTTTATATACCAGTTAGTCAGTCTCAGTGAAAATGAGAGTTGTGACTTTATATAAAAAAAAAGCACCAGTCTGAAGGTCAGTTTGGTTGTAAACCTGTAATCCCCACCACCCACGGGATTAAACAAAATGGTGGCCTCAAGTTCACGGGCAGCCTGAGTACAGTGTCAGGCCGTGTGTCAAAACAACAAAAACAAATCCTGGTCTGCCTTTCTAAAATTAATAATTCAAAAGAATCTCCATTGTGTTTGATAATATTTGTTTTGTTTGAAGAAATCTCTTAACTGGTCACTTACTAGAAGTATATACTAGTATAACAATTGGCAGGAAATATAAAAACTTACAGGCAATTTAAATATACATTCTGAATCTTAGCTGTTTCTCTTAAATATATTCTTTTAAACTTAGATAATTGTTAGCGAGGGGTTTCCAGATAGATTTCTAATTTATAACCTTGTCTTTCAGTTGTCACTCAGCCGAGTCCATCAGTTTCTCAACCCAGTGCTTCTCAAAGTGAAGAAAAAGCTCCTGAGCTGCCCAAACCAAAGAAGAACAGATGTTTTATGTGTAGAAAGAAAGTTGGCCTTACAGGTATTACCACAAAACAATTTATATCGTAAAAGCATCACTCCAAATGGAACTATTGGTTTTACACATTAAAAAAGAAAGAAAAAAGCAGATTCTAACATTTCCAGAAAGGGTGGGCTGGTGGGTTGAGACGGTGGATTTACTTTCCAATTGTAATGTTGGCCTAGTCATGTAATTATCATTAACCTCAGGCCTTGTGAATTGTTTTTCTTTATTTGAAAAGATAGAAATCTGTCCTTTTTTATTCCTTTTGATGTGTACAGAGAAAAGTTAGCTGAACTAACATTAGTGAACACCTATTTGGGGCCAAGCATGAAATGGTCTAGGTGGTTTTTTTACAACAGAATTTTTGTAGTTGGTTGTATAGTTTTCGTTTGAGATACTCAGCTCTTATGTGGTGTGGTAAGACTTGAATTCAAGTCATCCTCATTCTAGAACTTGTATGAATCCTACCCCGTTGTCAGGAGTTGACAGTCTTTCATAATCAAAGCAATGAAAATCTGTTCCTTTTCTCTAGTGAATAGGGTGCTTGTTTTCCTAATTGCTACAAGTTGCCAAGTGATTCCTCTTGTTTGTGCAGGGTTTGACTGCCGATGTGGAAATTTGTTTTGTGGACTTCACCGTTACTCTGACAAGCACAACTGTCCATATGATTACAAAGCAGAAGCTGCAGCAAAAATCAGAAAAGAGAATCCAGTTGTTGTGGCTGAAAAGATCCAGAGAATATAAAATTACTACATGTGAAGAGACTGAAACTTTGTTTTTATTTTAATATATCGTAGGAAAACATTAAAGAGCAGATGCATGGCCATTTTCCTTTGATGTTCTCCAGAGTTTTGCTTTATATTTGTCTGTCGTATAATTGATATTTTAGGATGTTTGGGTGTTTGTTACAGGCAGAATTGGATAGATACAGCCCTACAAATGTATATGCCCTCCCCTCAATAAAATTGGACAAAAATCTGCACAACAAATTGAAATAACACAGATAATAGGAACAAAATTTAGTTCCACGTGCCAAATTAAATGAATGAAATCTCTGCATGTTTGCAGCATATCTGCCTTTTGGGAATGTAATCAAGGTATAATCTTTGGCTAGTGTTATGTGCCTGTACTTTAAAAAAAAAAAAAAATGGTACACCAGAAAAGGACTGGCAGTCTACTACCATAGTCAAACTTCACCTTAATTTCAACATGACTTTTGGAAGCAGGAAGAAAGCTACAAAACCAGTATTTTGGTGCCATGTGTAAGCCTGGTTAAATTGGTCTTCTAAAAGCTGTCAATTAGGACATTCTTCGAAAGGTAACGTCACAGCTGGTTATAAGTAAAACCATCAAGTCAACAACAGGGTGCCTGAGATAATCTTTGAAGCTTATTGTGCTGGCCTGCACCAGAAGATATCTGCATTCTCTACTAAAATTATAGCACAGAACTGCACTAGGATTTGTTTACAAGAAGAAATTAAACTCTGTTTGGTTTTCACATACAGCAGCTCTGTTAAATAACATGCATCTGAATTTTAAGTTGCAAAGGTATCTGAACAGTTAATTTTTCATGTGCATCTTTTGTTGAATGTTTTGGTTCAAGAAAGAATGTTTAAAGCTTTTTAAAGACTTCAGTTTTTAATGTAACTGTACCCTTCTGCATGGAAAATCATAACCAACATGGCTGCAGTAGACTTCTTTAGTGGTATCCAGCACCACTTGCAGAGGGCTGCTTTATCATATTGTATTTGGGTGTAGGACTCTAGTGTTCTTGGGTGTATTGCATGGGCTGCATTATCTACAGCATTGTACAATAACAACTAGAAAAGGCAGTATACTTCACTGATGCTTGTCTGGTAATATCACTTCTGTGTTATAATGGAAGGTTTTTTGTGATGTATGAAACTTGTGTTTTTTATATATAAATGAGTATAGTTAGATTAGTGTTGTGGTAATGCCTGTTATCATCTGTAAATAGTTAAGTATGTACACAAGGCACTACTTCTGATTTATTGCAGTGTTCAGTCCTAGTTTTTCATTATAAAACATTCAGTTTTGCTTCGATTTTATGTACTTTAGTTCTGAGTTAGATTTGCAGATGTGTACAGATAGTTCATATTTATGTATTGCACATAATCATGCTATTCAGCATTGATGCTATATTGTATTATGTAAATAATATAAGCAGTGTACAGAGGGAAAAAAAGGAGTTTGAACAGAAATATTGTTCTTGTTCATTGGGTTTTTAAGCCTTAGACTCTAAAACAGGGAAAATAGGGAGATTTTCATATTCAACTTTATAATTGTCTATATTACAAATTTATTTTTCATGATCATTCTTGAACTCAGTCTCATGAGTACCATGAGCTGGTCATGAAACTTCCTCAGGTGTGACACATTTAAGGCAAATTTTGAAGAGCGCAGGTCCTAAAATTTGAGAAAGGAATGAAATTTAAACAATTGCACATAATGTATTTTTTCTTTTGTGTTTTTTCTGGTGACATAAGAATACTGTTGCAGAAAGCTATTTCTGTATGGGTTTGGTTCTGATGTAGAGAGGAAAGCAAGCACTTTAGACTGAGTATGCAGTTGTTATGCTTAAATAATAAGGAACAACAGTAAATGCCAGGCCAACTGCAATCAAGAATAAAGCCCTTGGTTTTCGGGGAGGACTTTAGAAGTGGAAATAATCTGGTTCACTTCCATCTGTTCTTGATGAATACTACTGTTGCATCAAGTGCAAATGTTATGAAGAAGTCCATGTATTGAGCAATAGTATCTCCCTTAATCGGTAGGGTGTTGAATTAAAAATACAGCATTTTAATGGGAAACTTGTTCATTTTAAAATGACTTTGTCTCCTTAACAAATATTAACAAAAGTCTGATCCTTTACCTTTTTTCTGGGGACTGAACCAAAGGTCTCATGCATGTTAAAGTAAGTACATTTCTGAGTGCTGTTTGGGAGTTTAAACTTAAATGAGATGGTGTACCCTCGATCCCCAGTCAATGTGTGGAGTCTTTGGTAGCAAGACATTGCAATGATTCCATAATCACATCTTGGGGTAGAGTGGTATATTAGGGTCTCAACCCTAGCTCAGGTCTGGAACTCACTGTGCAGCCCAGGTAAATCTGTTACTTGTAATCTTACCTTAACCTCCAGGGTGATGGGGTTAAAGGAATGTGAGTGCTTGGCTATGCGTGCATGCACGGGTCTCCATATATATGTGTGTGTGTGATCCATATGTGTCCATATATTTATATGTGTCTATATAGCCAAGTCTTAAGGTCCCTGTTGAGAGGCATGGGGACCTTAAGATTTGGATTTACATTTGTAAATAATTTATTATTTACATTTGTAAAGAATAATTTCAGTCTGTAAGGCACCTAGGAAGATTGGCTTCCTAGACACTTGATGTGGTATGTCTCATTCTACATTAAATTTAGCTATTAGTGTACCTTGGAACTCGGTTCTGTGTTAGTCCCATAAATGGGCAAATCTTTTCATGTAATGTAGTGGAACTTCTCAAAGCTAGGGCTTCTAATCCAGTGGATGGTTACAAAGGAAAGGTTTTGTTTGTGCCTAAGGATTTAGTATTGGGGCTATCGTTGGTTTAAGGCCACACTACCCCTCTTCATTTATTAAAGTAGTAACACGTAATTCCGGAATGTCAGTAAAGCAGTAATGAATTTTACAATTAAGTACTTAGATATTTACTATTTAATTTTTAAGGGTGATATTTAGAGCTTGAATTAAAAATGAATTTGGTTGCATAAAACTAAGAAAAGCTAAGATGTGTAGATTTCTTTTTGATTTTGAAATGATCCTGCTTTGTACCTCAGGCAAGCCTTGGATTTATGGTAATCTTGCCAGTTTTTGTATTGCAAGATTGTGCCACTGTGCTTGGCTGGTTGGTTGATTTTGAGACTGACTGCCAGCTGTAAATCACCTTGTAGCCCAGGCTGATCTCAAACTCCTGCCTGAGCATTCCAAGTGCTGGAATGCCTAACTTAAAATCTCTAACACTGATAGTCGTTTAAGTGGTTGGCGTCATTCTTCTGAGTTAGATTCGTTTTGAACATGTCTACATTAAAGTTCCTAACTTTGAAAAGTGGATATTGTCCATAGTATTAAATCATAACCATGGAGAGTGTTAGTGTCAGTTAATAAGATTTTGTACCTGAGGGCTGGAAAGGGAACAAGAGTGGTGCTTGTGCTTGCTTCCTTAGGACGAAAGTTCAGTTTCCAGCACCTACATGGGGTGACTCAACTGCTTGCAACTCTTAACACTTCAGGGGACATTCTAGCTTTTTTAGGCACCACATGTGCTGCTACCAAGCCTAACAACCTGGGTTTGAACCATAGGACCCAGAGACCTACCTGTCCTTTGACCTGCATGTACAAACCCCCACCACACACACACACACACACACACACACACACACACCAAAACCTGTAAGTTTCAGAGTCCTGCTTTTCTTTTAGTTAGGGTTGCATTCTTCACATGAGTTTTTTGGTTTTTTGAGGCAGGTCTCTTATCTTGGAACTTGCCATGTAAACCAGGGTGGTCTTGAACTTTTGAGATTAAAGGTGTGGGCTATTTGACTACAAGAGATATTAATAGCAAGCTGAAGTAAATTATAGGTTGCTCTTAAGCAAACTGATACTCTTGAATGTTTTTTCCTGATGAATTTTTTCCCCCAATTGTCACCACAGTACTTTTAGATTGTAGCTAGCCAGCACTCGGAATTTGAGGGTATGTGCATCTGAAGTGGTGAAACGTACAAAGGCAGTTCAGGGGTTAATTTAATAATTTACTCAAAGGTTAATAGGAAATCTTTACATTATCAAAGTTCAGTCAAGGGCAGGAACTGTTCATAAAAGAAATAGCCCATAAACTGTGTGTGTTTCCACACTAGCTCAAACACACTTCGTCTAAATTTCTCAAGCAGCTTGTGTGTATAATCCATGGCAAGTTAAAGTTCACTGGCCTCTGTTCTGTGTTTCTGTTTTCTTGTCCCACCCCATCACTATAGATTCAAACATGAAAATTACATTAACACCTAAATAATGCTTGAGGCTTTCTGTTGTGTCATATCTAACAAAACTCCTACCTTTTGTTTGTTTCTATGTCTATACATCTGAGAAAAAGAATTTCCCAAGGAAGCCCTCCATTGAGCCTAACATATAGCTAATAAATCTACATGGTGTGTTAAATGGCTTCTAACATTAAGCTTTGAGGTTAATGTAAAGTCATTCTCCGGTAAAAACTTGTTAGAAGAATGGTTACTATGCCAACTTGTTAGTCTTCAGCCATTTCCATTTTACATTATAGAGATAAGTTAAAATATTTTTAAAGGTGCCATTTTTAGCCAAGATTACTCAATTGACATAAAAATTAGATTTTGTTGAATATCTGGGGTCACAACCAATTTTACTGCCTGGATTGTATCAAATGAGAAAAGTTGATAGATGGTATCCATTTGAAGCAAATTCAAACTACTCTGTGATATTGGGCACAGCTTTTAAGCACTGGGGTGATAGGTATGTTTGAGGTTTTAAAATAAAGTAAGGCTTTTGTGAATTAGAGTAGTTTATCGGTTGTTACTTGATAAATTGAGACCTGTAACTAGCAGGAAGCCCACATGTAACTGGTGACTCTTCTGTGTAAAACATAACAGCTATGTAATTCAATACTAAGAGAATTATACCAATAAGAAACATTATATGAAAAAAAACATTTAAGATGACAGTTATTGTATTCCTGGAATGCTAGAACCAGGGTGTGAAATGGAAAGATTAACAGTAAGTTTTGTTTAGTCCCTTCATTGGGCTCTATCTTCCCCTCATACTTTGTGAGTTTTCTTTAAAGTGGTTTTCTGTGGTTTTAAGAATAGTATGTATTTAACTCCTACCAGCAACAGGTTAATGTGATGAAACAAGGTCTGGTTTAGGTGCACCACAAATGCAATGTGTTTAAGCAAATACTGGAGCTGGTGGGAATTTGCTCACCTAGAAAACAGGTCCCGTTCAGGCTAGAGCACCCAGTGCTTCATCCTTCTTGGAAGGGATGGTGATACACAGCCATTCCTGTCTGGCCTGGAGATAAAAATAGCCATGAGCTACAGTTACTAAGAACATCAGGAGCAGGATGATTGGGCGGAATTCCCAAGATC